CACAGATCTGTTTATTCTGACAACAACAGGGTGTTGCTCTCAGAATATAAGTATGTGCGCACTGTTGGATGAGATTTTTCGTCCACAGTTAAAAAAAAGAGCATAAATGTCCAAGCATGAAGACCTGGGGTGGACAGTGGGTGGACGGCCCCTATGCTTCGGCATATATTTAAAAAAAAATGTTTTGGTAGAGATTTTCTTCCTCCACATCGATCGACGTTAATAGAGGAATCTGTTAGTTTCTTTTCCGGTCAGCTGAAAAAAAAAGAACATTTCATGTGTGCCCACCATTAGAAGTGGGTGGATACAGGGTGGTATATTCTAATGGTGGGCATACCACACACTTTTTCTGGCAGAGATTTCTTCTCATTTTGTCATTCAGCCCACAGGCTGCATAAAAAAAGAACATAACAGATATACCCAACAAGGACCAGCGACATACTGGTACATCACTGGACTTTCAGTGGTTATACCAGGATGATGCCTGCACACTGCAGGCATCGTCCTGGTATTATTTTTTTTCAGCCAGCAATTGGATTTCATGTAAAAGCAATCTTAGTGGCTAATTAGCTGCAGGATTGCTTTTACAAGCAGCAGGAGAAGATGCCCCCCCCCCACCGCTGCCTTCCATGGCTTTGTCAGGCAGTTCCAACCCTGAGAATGCAAAAATGCAGCTGGTGTTTCTGCCAGCTGACCATAAAGCTGATTGGAGACCGGAATAGCGCCAATCATCTCTGTTGTCTAAGAAACCGAAAGCTACAAGCACTTCATCAATTGGGAAAGCATCTGATCACAAAGATCTTGGTGAGATCAGATGATGTAAGGGCAGAGGAGATGTTTAGAGTCTAATAGACCCTATATTTCTCAGAAAAGAATACCTGTCACTGCCTATTGCAGTCACAGGGGACATTTACATTTCCTGTGATAACAATAACGGTGATCAAAAAAAAAGAATGAAAGGGACAGTGTAAAAATAATTGAAAAAATCAAAATAATAAAAAAAAAGAAAAAATTAAAGCACCCTCGCTTACTGCGCGCGCAAGCGTTGGCCCCGTGTTGGTATGGAAACAGCATTTGCATGTGAGGTATCACCGTGAACGTCAGATCAAGGGCAGTAATTCTATCACTAGACCTCCTGTGTAAATCTAAAATGTTAGCCTGCAAAAAAGGCTTTTAAATGTCGCCTATGGATATTAAACTGTATGCAGTTTGTGGCCATTGCACGGGGGGTGCAATGTTTTTAAGCATGTCATGTTTGGTATCTATTTAGTCGACATACCATTATCTTTTATACATTATCAAACAATTGGCCAATATATTGTGTTTTTGTGCATTAAACGTAAAAAAGTTAATTTTTTTTTAAAATTGTGTTTGAAAAATTGCTGTGCGAGTACTCTGTGACATAAAAATTTCAGCACCCACCATTTTATTCACTAGGGTGTCTTCTTAAAAAAATAATGTTTTTGAGGTTCAAAGTAATTTCTTGGCAAAAAATACTGATGTGTGGCATAATCTTCTAATGCTGGGCATAAAATGCCCCCCCCCCCCAAGTGAACGCTTTTTGGAAAGTAGACACCCCAATCTATTTGGTGAGAGGCATGTTGAATCAATAGAAGAATTTATTTTTTTACCACAAGTTTTTGGAAAATGACAAAAAATATATATATTTCTTTTTTTTTTACACAAAGTTTTCAGTTAAATTATATATTGTTCACACATGCTATGGGTATATGTGGAATTACTCCCCAAAATACATTCTGCTACTTTTCCTGAGTATGGGAATGCCACATGTGAGAGACTTTTTGGCAGTCTAGCTGCGTACAGGACCCCAAAATCCTTCACCTTCAGGTTTTCAAAGGGATTTATTTCCTCAGTACACTTCCTGACTACCTATCACAGCTCCGAAGGCCCTGATATTTATTTATTTAAGCTATTTTTATAGTGCTGTCAATTTACGCAGCGCTTTACATACATATATTGTACATTCACATCAGTCCCTAACCCTCAAGGAGTGTACAATCTAAAGTCCCTAACTCACATTCATACATATACATACTAGGGCCAATTTAGACAGGAGCCAGTTAACCTACCAGCATGTCTTTGGAGTGTGGGAGGAAACCAGAGTACCCGGAGGAAACCCACGCACAGGGAGAACATGCAAACTCCAGGCAGGTGGTGCCTGGGTTGGGATTTGAACCAGCGACCCTAGTACTGCCAGGCGGACGTGCTGCCCAACAGCCACTCTGCTGCCAGAATAGTACAAACCCCCCCCAAACGACCCCTGTTTGGTAAGTAGACACCCCAAGGAATTTGATAAGAAACATGGTGAGTATTTTGCAGATCTCATTTGTTGCAAGTTTTTGGAAAATGCAGAAAGAAAACGAAAACATATTTTTAGTTTTCTTTTTTTATTTCTCAAAACCTTGTGAGAAAAAATTAGATCTGCAAAATACCCACCATGCCTCTTATTAAATTCCTTGGGGTGTCTACTTTAAAAAATGTGGGGATGGGGGGGAAGGTTTGGTGCTATCCTGGCATTTCAGGTCCTTCGAAACTGTGATAGGTAGCAAGGTTGTGAAATGAGGAATTACGCACCATCAGGCTTTCAAAGGAGTGATTTGATTTTGGACTCATGTATGTGGCTAGACTAAACATGCCTCTCAACAGAGAGCCTAGGGTGTCTATTTTCCAAAAAGGGGTCATTTGGGGGTGTTTGTACTGCCCTGGCATTTTAGCACCTCAAGAAATGTGATAGGCAGTCAGAAAGTAAAAGCTGTGTAAATTCCAGTATCTATACCATAGTTTGTAGATGCTATAACTCTCACACAAACCAATTAATATACACTTATTGGAATGTTGTTTACCACAGTCATATAGCAAAATACATTTTGGCCTAAATTTATGAGGACATTTGAGGTTATAGGATATTTTTTATAACAGAAATGAGAAAATAACTTTTTTTTCAAAATGTTCAGGTTTTCTGTTTACAGCACAAAAAATAAAAAAACCTAGAGGTGAACAAATACCACCAAAAGAAAGCTCTATTAGTCTGAAAAAGGACATAAATTACTTTTGGTACACATTGCATGACCACACAATTACCAGCTGAAATAGGGCAGCGCCGAATGGCAAAAAATGGCCTGTTCAGGAAGGGGGGGGGGGGGGGGGTAAATCCTCTGGAGGGCAAGTGGTTAAATGCTGGAAATAGATGCTGACCCTGGATGATGCCTGAACAAAAATGGCATCATCCTTTGTAAGGTGGCAGATAAGGGGGGTAAGGATGGGGGGTTGCTTTTATCTCTGTGCAAAGTAAGTAATACTTAGAATGCTTATACTTACACATTACTTAGCATGAATACACTTAAAGAGAAAAAATATGTAAATGTATATACTGTATATACACTGTTAAAAAAATTAAAGAAACACTTTTTGATCAGAGTATAGCGTCAAGTCAATTAAACTCATGGGATATTGATCTGGTCAGTTAAGTAGCAGAGGGGATTGTTTATCAGTTTCAGCTGCTTTGGTGTTAATTAAATTAACAACAGATGGCACAGCAATACCTACCATTGCCAGAATATTTGCTGTGTCTCCCAGCACAGTCTGAAGAGTATGGAGGAGAATCCAGGAGACTAGTTAGTCTAGGAGAGCTGAACAAGGCTGTAGAAGGTCCTTAACCCATAAGCAGGACAGTATCTCCTTGTTTTGTGCAAGGAGAAACAAGATGAGCACTGCTAGAGCCCTACAGAATGACCTCCAGCAGGCCACTGGTGTGAATATCTCTGACCAAACAATCAGAAACAGAATTCATGAGGGTGGCCTGAGGGCCTGACGTCCTCTAATGGGCCCTGTGCTCACTGCCTGGCTGGCACCATAGAGCTCAATTGGCATTTGCCATTGAACACCAGACTTGGCAGGTCCACCACTGGCACCCTGTGCTTTTCACAGATGAGAGCAGGTTCACCCTGAGCACATGTGACAGACGTGAAAGGGTCTGGAGAAGTCATGCAGAAAGTTGTGTAGCGTGTAACATCGTTTAGCATGACTGTTTTGGTGGTGGATCAGTGATGGTCTGGGGAGGCATATCTATGGAGGAACGCACAGACCTCTAGAGGCTAGACAATGGCACCCTGACTGCTATTAGGTATCGGGATTAAATTATTGGACCCATTGTCAGACCTTACACTGGTGCAATGGGTCCTGGATTCCTCCTGGTGCACAACAATGCCTGGCCTCATGTGATGAGAGTAGGTTGATAATTTTCATTTCCATCAAACGATGGGGCATCCTTACTTTCCTGACACATTACCCAGTCCATATCAGTATAGATATCCAGCATGATATTTTTCCCCATTGAGATCTGATGTGTTTTCAACGTGTTCCTTAATTTTTTTTGAGCAGTGTATTTAGAGCCTTAATGAAAGTAATGGCATTTAAAATTTAAGATCGATAGATAAAAACAAAGTATGTCTCCAGATTTAAAATATGTTTGTGTATAATAAAAAAAATTCAACAGTACTGTGTATTATCACCTGAATAAAATTTTAGGAACACATTGGACACATCTGTGTCCAGCTTATCAGAAGACGTATGAGATAAGCATTTCAAGTCATTTGTAACTGGTAATAAAATGCAGAAAAATCGAAAAAATAAAGGATTTGTGCATTTGTTTCTATTGTTTTTGGAGAGAGATGAAACAGAATGCACAAATAATACCTTCCTTTGTTCATGACATCTGACGATTGGATATTGGACCCAAAATATGCCACATAGCTTCTGCTCTGTAAGAACACTATATTCAGTATAATGGGGAAATAGTCACTTTCTGTATATCTTCACCTTTCATGTAGCACTGAGTTGTTATAATTTTTTTTTTTTTTAACAAATATACAAATATATGAGTGTCTTGCTGTCTTGCTGTCTTTTTTAGTGCAATGCCGCAGTTGACAGTAGAGATGTTCAGGGGAGTTTTGCTTTCTAATTAGATTTTATTTTAACAGGGGATGTCCCGCCTACAAGATGGATCATGAATTTTGATAAAGACCTTTTAGATGGTCTTGTCCTTGCAGCTCAGGTGGCAGCCTATTGCCCATATCTTGTAAGTACCAGTGAGTTTCCTATGAGTACTGCAATCCCATATTTAAAAGCGGAATTTACGTTGATATGAAAAGAAAATCCTATATTTATTTCTACTACTTCTTTGCAGGTCTCCTCTCATTTCATAGACATGTATACTAGTCCAGAGTCTCCAGAACAATGTCTGCACAACTGTCTGATTCTGACGAATGCTCTCCGAACAATCAATTTAAACATTGACATACAGGTGGAATACTGTTTACCTTATATGAATATATTTAGCCTAAAATATATTTCTTTGTATACTATATATGTTGAAACACAGTAGAATTGATCTCATTTTCAGTTTCCCTAATTTTATGTGGAAAAAAAAACATTCAAAGCCTTGAGTTCCTGGGGCATTATGGTTATAAATGCACGTTGACCCATATACAAAGAACTTGAAACGCCACTCAAAGCACTACAAAGCCTCCCCCTGCAATCCAAAGCACAGATTGGGTGCTGGCACTAAGACAAGCTCATCCAGGCTAGCAGAAGCAAATCAAAAGACATCAGGTAGAAGAGCTGCACATCGGAACCCAGCCACTATACAGGAAGGAGAAAATACGGCTTCAGCATAGACTCTTCCTGATTACACCCCTCTGACATGTTTCGCCCCTCCCATGGAGCTTAATCATAGAGCTTAAACCCCTCTACAATTAAATCCCATGGGTGGGGTAAAACGTTTCAGAGGGATGTAGTCAAGAGGAGTGTAGTCAGGAGGAGCTTAGACTGAAGCTGTATCTTCGCCTCTCTATATAGTGGCTGGGTTTTGGCGTGTGGTTCTTTCACCTTCTGTCTTACAATGAATCCATTGACGTGTTCATTAAGGTTGTGTTAAGGAAGTACATGCAAATCAATGGGCTAACAATGCACCAAATCTTTAAAAAAAAAGAGACTTGCACCACTTTTGAAAGTTGCCACATCACAATGCATGGTAGTGTGTTACCATATATGTCAGGCATATGTTGCCTTGCGTTGGGGTGCAATTCAAAATGAATAGACTCACAGCATGCTATTGCATGTTACTTGAATGCAGCACAATGCGAAAGTGTGATTCAAACCTCAAAAGGCAGAGAGCACAGGTGCTGCTAATTTCATCTGGATGAGTGCAGTGATCCCTTGCACACTCCATGTCAACAGCATTTGTATTTTTACCACTCAGTGAATAGGAGACAGCTAGCTTAATGAAGGCATAAAAACAAGTGACAATCTTCACTGGGCTCTGTTGTTTAACTAGGTGTATTCGTGACACCACTGTTTGACACTGAAATACAGTTCTAATAGAACTCATTTTTATTTGTAAAGGTTGCTTTTTAGCTTTGGTAGTTTTTTGTCATTGTGTAAAAATATATCATACCAACTGACTGTTCTCATTCAGAACAGGGAAACTGGTAAGCATGAGGGGCACATCAAACAGGAAACAAAGCAACCCCTTTCTGTCCCTTTAACTCATTGAGGTTAATCTACTAATCCAATGTAGACCGTTCACTTAGCAAATTATTATTAATGATATATTATTAATTGCTACTTTAGTGAATCAACTCAACAGTTGGTTACCCACCTTTTCCCTATTTGCATATTTTTTTCCTTATGCTTCGTTTTCTCTAGAAATAACCTTCATATAATAACAGTACTTTTACTTCCTAAATGGTGCGCATATTTGCTTAAATTTAAATTTTTTATCTGATATGGGCCACACTTACTGTACACCTTTCTGAAAAATTATCCTAAAAACTTTAGAAATGAACTTAAATATTCTAATTAAAATGTATAAATTAGATTGAGCCCTTTCTAATTAGAAATATGTAATGCAGTAAGTACTCAGACAGCTGGGGACTATGTGTATGCTGGGCTGTCATAAGCAACATTGTCGGCAGTTAAAAGCTACATGTGGCACCTGAGCTCCTGGCCTGGTACTATTGAAATAAACTATTTTCTATTTGCGTTGTGTTGTCTCTGAATTTCTGTTTAGGCTACTGACATATGTGATCCAAATCCAGTGATGATGCTAATGCTGTGTGTGTTCCTGCATGAAAAACTGCCACTTTATGTGCCTAAAAAGACAATCGCGTTTTGATGGGCCTCTTCACCAAATTATTTCACGCCAGGTAACGAATAGCACATAAAATTTATGCTGATTTATCACATTTACCGTTTCTTTATTCTATAGATAGCAGATAAAAGAAAAAAAATAGAATTATGAATATAATTCAGCAGCCAAACCAAGCTTCCTCTGCATACACGAATGAATGAAATGTCTAAAGCATACTTTTATTTTTTTTTCGGAATAACAATTTTTTGTTATTTGGGTAAATATAAAATATTGTATTTTAATGTCATGTAGTCTTCTATCTAGCCTCTAGATACAGCGACATTCCCATTTTTAACATCATTAGTTTAATTACTTTCCATCTCTGCTGAGAGAAGCTGGTTGTTTAACAGAACTGCATAGAATCCTAAGAGCAGTGACTAATCCATGTCACAGGCGAAAATGGATAGTGGACCCCATATGCTACATATATTTTGGAGAGGGTGTGAGCACTTAAAGGGGTGAAGAAGCAGAGTCTAAATACACGTCAACAGATTCTCACCAGAGCACCCCACCAGGGATGATGGACTTTGCAGGAAAGTGTACCAGGTTGCAGCCTGCAGGTACACCTGTGCATATGGCAGCTAGAGCCAGAACATTGTACAAAGCCAGGCAGATTCAGAAACAGGGAACAGGCCAAAAGTCAGGGCAAGCAATGAAAAAGCATAGTGTAATACAAGTTATTACATAATAGAGCCTTGGGCTAGGAAATTACTCTATTGCTCAGGCAATGGGTGTTGGTCTAAGCGCACCTAAATAGTGAGGTTAATTGACAGGCTGGGTGGACACAGACTGTGTAGCTGCTATATCAATCAACAGCTGGAATTTGGCCACACTTATACGTTGCAGTCCTGTGGATCAGAGCAGGGTTTAGTCACAAGGTCAGAGAGATTACCTGGATAACACTACACAGAGTTACAGATCAGCTTTGCTGCCAATGCATAACAATCTTTTTTCAGAAACCTGCATCCAAAGCTTCAATCATACAAAGGAAGCTGCAAAGCAATTTGCTTTGCTGTGCTGCCTCTTTAGTTAACCCATAGTGATCTGAGAACCCTTCGTCATGTAAATGTTAATTTGTAAAACAGAGACTGCATCTACATAGTGTAAAACAGATGTAAAACAGTATAAGCACTTATAAACTCGAAAAAAAAGGAGCACAAATGACCACAAACTATTATGCTGTTCATTTAAAGTGGTAGTAAACTGGTAAACTGGAAAAAAAACCCTTTTCCCTTGCAAGACAATGTTATAATGTGCTAGTATGCATTGCATACTAGCGCATTATGTGAAATTTACCTTAAAATGAAGCCCTACAGCGGCACACTGTCACTGCTGACATGGCTTCCATCTTCATCAGGTCTACCTTTACGAGTTTGCAGGCTCCAGTACTTTGAAGGAGTCACTGTTTATTTATTTCAGGTACTTATATAGCGCTGTCAATTTACACAGTGCTTTACACACATATATTGTACATTCACATCCGTTCCTAACCCTCAAGGGTAGTACAATCTAAGGTCCCTAACGCACATTCATACATATATACACATACAAGGGCCAATTTAGACAGGAGCCAATTTACCTACCAGTATGTCTTTGGAGTGTGGGAGGAAACTGGGAGTACCCAAAGGAAACTCACGCAGGCACAGGGAGAACATTAAAACTCCAGGCAGATGGTGGAGGTGGTGGTTGGGATTTGAACCAACGACCCTAGTACTGCCAGGCAGAATTGTTAACCATTTAGCCACTGTGCTGCCCATATTTATGGTACAGAGCTCTGAAGGAATGGCACAGGTATGCCATTCCTTCAGAGCACATGCGCTGGTGATGTCATCGGCTGCTACACAAGTAAATATATTTCCTAAGCAATGCCAGTTTTGGAGATATTTTTCAGTACATACAGGTAAGCCTTATTATTGGCTTACCTATAGGTAAAACATAAAAAATGGATTTTACTACCACTTTAAACTTGTTCTCATAACTAGAGATGAGCGAATCGAACTCGGCGAAGTGGAATTCGTTTCGAATATTAGGAAAATTTCGATTCGCGCATCCGAAGTATGCTAATTTTTCCAAAAATGGCGGCAACATGTGCGGCGACGGAGCGGGGATCTGTGGGAAGGCGCGCAGACAAGGCGCGCTGACCCATAATGCATTCATTCATGACATGTGATCGCATTAGCCAATCAGCAGCCAGCCAGCCAGCACTGTGTAATGGTCGAGCTATAAATTGCGGCCATTTTAGAATTCTCCATTAGCCTCCAGTCATTCAAGAGAGACAGACCACCTGTCTGTATTGAGGGAGAGAGTTAGGGCCACAGAATCGTTACTTAGGGACACAGAACTGTTACTTAGGGACACAGAACCGTTACTTAGGGACACAGAACCGTTACTTAGGGACACAGAATTGTTACTCAGGGACAGACACAGAATTGTTACTCAGGGACAGACACAGAATTGTTACTGAGGGACACAGAATTGGAGGGACACAGAATTGTTACTGAGGGACACAGAATTGTTACTCAGGGACACAGAATTGTTACTGAGAGACACAGAATTGTTACTGAGGGACACAGAATTGTTACTCAGGGACACAGAATTGTTACTCAGGGACACAGAATTGTTACTCAGGGACAGACACAGAATTGTTACTGAGGGACACAGAATTGTTACTGAGGGACACAGAATTGTTACTCAGGGACACAGAAATTGTTACTCAGGGACACAGAATTGTTACTCAGGGACACAGAATTGTTACTCAGGGACACAGAATTGTTACTCAGGGACAGACACAGAATTGTTACTGAGGGACACAGAATTGTTACTCAGGGGACACAGAATTGTTACTCAGGGACACAGAATTGTTACTCAGGGACAGACACAGAATTGTTACTGAGGGACACAGAATTGTTACTGAGGGACACAGAATTGTTACTCAGGGACAGACACAGAATTGTTACTGAGGGACACAGAATTGTTACTGAGGGACACAGAATTGTTACTGAGGGACACAGAATTGTTACTGAGGGACACAGAATTGTTACTGAGGGACACAGAATTGTTACTCAGGGACACAGAATTGTTACTCAGGG